TTAATAAAATAAATATAAAATATATTATATTACATACAATATTATGGTATATATTACATATTTATATATTTACGTTATTAATATATATTTTATTATAGATAATATAAATAGTTATATTATATGTAATATATAATATAATATTTAAATAAGTTGTCTTTGTGATTCACAGACCTTAATGTTCCAAATTAATTTGAATGAATTGTAAAAATTTCGGATCCGATAAGGATTGGCTAATAAAAAAACAATGGGTAACCCTATTCCACCTAATTTGGTAGAATAGCATTCTTCACGTTTTTTGCCCAAAAACATGGATTGACCACTTTCCAGGATTCAGCTATCCATGCGTGAATATGTTACCCAACCAAGGGGTAAAGGCCCAATACTTAGATAGCCTTACTCTAGAGAGTCCAATCCAAGTATACAAACGTGCCTTTATATAACCATGTTCAAGGGAACCGTACCGATATTTTATTTTGGCAAGAAAGCGGGTGGGTGTAGATCCGTTACCAATTTGGACTTGCGATACCCGACACGCGAATCACCACTCGTTAAGACCCTGCTTAACTACAAATTCGATCCGGAACGATGGAATCAATTGCAAACACGATTTCATTATACAAAAGGGTGGGGTATTTTCGCAATACTCTTAAATTCTATGTCCCAAACAACATGAAACTCCAACCGAAACAGTTCCCATTGATCCTAACGCTACTACCCCCACATTCCTTCGTTTCCGATGTATTATAAATGGATGGAGTTTTTATAAGGCCTAGTTTTTATAAAAATAAAACAAAATCTCACATTAAATCTTCACCTGGAAAATACTTTTGATATCGAAAATCTTCATAATGGGTCTTAGATTAATTTCCAATGCCGAAATAAAATTTGAAATATAAAAAAAGTATAAATCTTGTGGAACTGTAAATATTTATTTTTGAGGTAAAATGGATGGTCTAGATGATTCCATACAATATACAGTATTCCCAACATTTAAAATCCTTGTACAACCATGATATTCAAGTTCAACCTTTGAATTGCACTTTTTGATGAGTTATAAGGTGAGGTTTTACTTAATTTGATAAGGCTGCAGCTGTATGAAACCATTTTCCCATATTTCCAATGTATTTTAAATTGTACTATAAAAACAATTTTAAGACAAAGACAACACCAAACCTGAAAATCCAACTGCTTTCGCACCACCTTTTTTCGGCCACCTAACCACCAGACCACCGTAACCGAGAATGGCCGCGCTCATGATTCCGGCGAATACGCTGGCGGCGAAGCGGAGGATGCGGGTGAGGTCCTCCGCCTCGCGGAAGGACCACGCCATTGTGAAAGAGTTTCGGGAGGGGTGCGCGGCGCCACTGCCGGTGCTGCGGCGGGTGGCAGAGGGGATTGCGGCAGACATGAGGAAGGGTCTCAACAGTGATGGAGGTCACAGCCTTCCGATGATCCCTACTTTTGTCAACACCTTGCCCTCTGGGTACCATAATACTTTTTCTCTCTCTCTATGTAGTGTTGTGATCTCTCTCTGACTGTTCTCTCTATGTGGTGTTGTGATCTCTCTTCATGAACTGTTCTGATCTCTCTCATGAGCTTCTCTTTCTTTTTCCATGCTCTCTCTCTAACCTTAAGTTGAGAGACGTGAGACTAAGGGATTCATCCCTCAGGCTTCGATAATCAGTGAAACTCTTCTGTTAATTGCTTAGTTTTTCTTTTGGAAGTAAATGGTTTTACATCTTACTTTTTTTCGGTTTCTTGCTGGAATCATTTTTGTTTTTCTCTTTTGGTGAAATTTGGTTCTCAGAAGGCGGTGGTTTCTTGATTTTCTTGCTGGAATCATTTTTGTTTTTCTCTTTTGGTGAAATTCGGCCCTTAGAAGGGGAAGATCTGGTTCATCCCGCACCATAGTGGATTCTTTTGATGTCTAACATGGAAACAATTTTCAAAAAGATGAAATAGAACAGAGTATCAGTTTTTCCTAGTTTCGTTTCTTTACGAATAATTCGGATTATCATTAAGTTTTATGCTTTGCAGAAGATTAGCGAGGATAAAAATCCATGGGTTTACTGACTGCTCAAAATTCTAATAACTGAATAACTAATGTTTAGAAGTTTTCATAGAAGTAAAAAGTTTTATGCTTTGCAGAGGATTAGCTAGGATAAAAATCCATGGGTTTGAAAATTCTAATAACAGAATAACTAATGTTTAGAAGTTTTCATAGAATTAAATTAAAAATAGAGATGCTATAAGTTTACATAGTAGTAAACTGAAAACAGAGACCTTGGACATTTACTTGGAAGTAATTTGAAATCAGAGGCCTTATACAAATAAATGATCGTATAAAGGTTCAGTGACGGAGAGGAAGGAAATTTACATTTGAATCCTTGATTGTCGTGAGTTCCACGGTATATCATACTAGTAACATCTCTTAAGAGATTCTCAATGACAGGGTCTTGAGTACAAAAAGACCTTGCAATTCCAAAAATTTCAGGATAAAAGGGGTAGGTCTTCTTTGAAAACCTTAAATGATAGGATCTATGACAATGTGAAAAAATCATAAATAAAAAATACGAATGGCAACCAACACAAAGCAAATAGATAAAAGAAATAGCACATAAGAACACCGAAATTTGTGTGGTTAATCACTCATGTAACTACATCCACGGGTGAAGACGGTCACTGTTTTCACTATCACAGTTCTGATAGATACAAGACCTTATCTCTCAAGAGATCTCTCTCACTAAGCCAAAACACATAAAGATCTTATTTACTTTCTCAAAGCCAAACTTTAACCCAAAGAAACATATCAATATGCAGAAAATATCCTTATTATAGCCCCACATTTTTGGATACTAAGCCGATTAGGGCAAACAAGCAGTAGGTCAAGGTCAAGCTATGATGTATATTAGGTTATACCACAAAATTCAAGGCATAGCTGCACAACATTCTTTGGATCTATAGGAATTTGTTGAGGAGCCAAAAATGGGTATAACAAATTCGGTTTTCAGAAGACTCTGTTTAGTTGTATCTTTAGCATGTACCATTGTCATTGCCAATTTAGATATTGCCAATTTAGATAATGGGTTGGTTTCTATTTCTCTTTATCCCTTGTGTATGAAAATAGATTTTTGTGGTTTTATTTTTTATATGATGTTAACCAGTGGAAACAGTCTTTGCGGTTGAGCATGTTCATGGTCATTATAACTGGAATGTTTAATAGTTTAATAATGTGTGGGTCTCCATATGTTTCATTCAATTTCTAGGCTTTGTTTTCTTATGTCCGTCGCATACTTATATGAAAATGGATGATGACGGTCATTCCATTTTACCTTTTATAAAGGAATGAGGAGGGTCTCTTCTATGCATTGGATCTGGGTGGTACAAATTTTCGAGTCTTAAGGGTGCAATTGGGAGGCAAGGATGGTCGGGTCATCGACACTGAGTTTGAGCAAGTTGCCATTCCTCAGGATCTAATGTTTGGCACCTCTGAGGTTGGTTATTTATATTACCATATGATTGTGTGGGAATATTTCTTAAATTCTCTACCATTTGGGATATTTCCAAAAAGTTTAATTTTATAGGTTTCTTGGAACTGATTAATAAACACTATCAAATGCAGGAATTGTTTGATTTTATTGCTTCTAGACTAGGGACTTTTGTGCAAAAAGAAAGTGGAAAGTTTCATCTGCCTTCTGGAAGGCTCAGGGAGATTGGTTTCACTTTCTCCTTTCCAGTAAAGCAAACTTCTATTGATTCTGGCATTTTGATCAAGTGGACAAAAGGTTTTGCGGTCTCTGGAACGGTAAGACTTCATAGTTCTTGTTGATTCGTTATGTCTAGGTGGATATCCTCTGCTTTAAATTACAGAACTTAATGTAACAAAGTTTTACTCTTAGAGTTATATCTCTATTGGTGGTCTTATGGGAGAGTGTTTGTGTTAAAATGAGTCTGTAAATGTTTTACTTTTGATGTATTGCTTTTGGTATATATTTTTGTGACACAGATGGCAGGCCTACAGGTATAGAATATCAAAACGTAATTGTTTCCAAAATTTACAAGCATCATTTTCTAGGAACACAGCAATGTACACGCTTGTGTTTGTAGGACAATAATGCCCTTATTTAAGGAAATAGTACAAAGGAGTCATTTTTGTGACATTGTCTTTATGGTACATGAATACACCATACACACTTGAATTCGCTTATTCAATGTTGTATCTTGAATGCGTCTTTCTTTCAAAATTGTTTGCTATATCATGTTAAGCTGGTTTTTACGGCTTTTATTGAGTGGGAATTGTGGGATGTGGAGATAGAAAATAGAGAGTTTGAGTGTTTGTTTAGCTTATCAGAAAATGCACTTTTTCTTTCTTTTTAATAGGATTTCTGTCAGCCGCGTTTTTATCTCATGGGTCCTAAACTGAGGCAGTTTCCATGGGCTGACGACAAATGACCTTATAAAGGATTGAAACATAATGAATGTTTTCAATTTCCCTGAATCTAATGAAGCGAAACCAAAGGTCTCAAGATGAACAGGAATTGAATAGGATGCTTGATGACAATCTACATATTATTAGATTGACGTGTAATGAAAAATGCATATATACAGGGACATAATTTAATCCAGATGTTTTTATGCTTTCTTCCATCTTTTCAGAAAAATAGGATACTGCATTCCAAATTTGAGAATGCATATCTAAAACTTGTACTTTCTTGTATGGAGCCTACAAGCTGATGAATCCTTTTATATGGTCTGCCAAATACAGGACCACATGTTATCTCTCAAATTTAGTGCTGGTATCTTAGTTTGTTGATATTCTATACAAGTAAAATTTCTCCTTTGAAAAGTGTAGTAATGGAGACGTATTAACTCTGATAGGCGGGGAAGGATGTAGTTTCCTGTTTGAATCAAGCAATGGACAGGCAGGGTCTAGATATGCGGGTCTCAGCCCTCGTAAGTTCTCTGTGTTTCTATTGTCAATTGTACATGTTCATCTGGCATACTTTAGTGATATTTGCGGACCACTTTTATTGGTGATATGTCTGTTAAACATATTTATAAATTAATCTTTACATATTGGGGGAGCTTTTGACATTTAAATATGTACTATATGTATTTACCATTACAGACACATTGGCCATTCATAATAGAGATAGTATTTGTCATACCATTTAATAAATGGATGGCGATGGTTAGAGAGATTGACACAGAAACAGGACAGGACTGCAATCATGGCCAGGACGCTCTCTATCACCATCCGCCGTTTTGTTGATTTTCACCCCAGTAGACTGTAGTTTTTTGATACTACATTCAGTTCGAGTAAATTTTTCCGTCATATTGTAATGTGCATCATAAAGTGGGAGCATAGGTTCTTTTAATTTGTACAATTTTATGAATTTCTTTGCTTAATATTGTAGACATGACAGGTTAATGACACAGTTGGGACGTTAGCAGGAGCACGTTATTGGGATGATGATGCCATGGTTGCTGTTATTTTGGGCACCGGAACCAATGCATGTTATGTAGAACGAATGGATTGTATCCCAAAGCTGCAAGGCCATTTACCTGCGAATGGAGATATGGTTAGTAACACTGTGGTTTGCTTAGATGTTTCAAGGATTTTCTTATATAAAAGTAACGTCTTTCTTATTTCTTTTCTTATTTTTATTTTTTTCAGTTTAGTATCCATATGAGTAGAAGATTAATTAGTTTTTCCCTTCATTCTCTGAACTACTGTAATATCTATTTTCTGTAGGGATAGGATACAATAATCCAATGAGTTGTGAGAGACCATAATTCATTGGGGCCACATAATCCAATGAATGGTGGGCGTTGATTGAGAGGTAAATAGAGACGCCCCACACAATGGAACATGTTTCTAATGGTGGTTTTCTCTCTCCATCGCTGCTTCTCATTTTAATGGATGTTGATGGCGCCAATGAACTGCAGCTTTCCATAATCCATTGGATTTTCTAGTATACTTGTCATATTCTTATAAGGATGTGGGTAGCATACAGGCCAAGCCAGCATGCAGCGGCCCCTTAATAAATTTTTTTTTAGATGGATTTTTGGACTTAATTTTTAAAGATATGTAATCTCTAACACGGAGATCATGAATATGAAAAAATAAATAAATTTTAAAAAAGAAAAATAATAATTCTATTAAAAAAATATTTGGATCGTTAGTTTCAATTGTTTCTAGATGGACCACATATTTACATCCATCTTTAAGATGGATGCTTTATACTTCTAGACGGCATATGTAAAAATGCGGTCCAGCCTGCATGAAACAATTTTCCTTCTTATAATCTATTCTATTTCGAAATCAATAAGGTTTCTTGAAATGCAGATTATCAACACAGAATGGGGAGCATTCCATGACAGCCTGCCTCTAACTGAGTTTGATAAAGCTCTAGATGCTGCAAGCATAAACCCTGGTGAGCAGGTAAACTAACACTTTTCCTTGCTTTTTGGGGAAGATCCATATTCATAACAGTGTAATGCATATGGCCTTTGTTATTGAAATTTGAGCTTTTGATGCCATAATTCTTCTTTGCATGGTTCAATCCCTGTTTTGGATCAAGTCGATGATCATGTTTTCAAAAATTGATTGAACAGAAAATTGGTTCATAAGTTCATTGTCTGATTTGATTTGTTTTTGCAAGCGAACTCGGAAAGCATATGAGAAATTCAGTTTGAACTGGCCTATATTGAGATCTAAACTGGAAAGAATCACGTGAAAATTGACTAAATGGTTCCAAATTGGATGAAAGCATTGGTTCCTTGGCAATTTTAGTGATGGATATATCATAATGAGTTACTTCTGATTTGAATTGGCCTTAGGATCAGATTTTCCTGGTCTCGATGACATGGCCTTTACCTATATTCATTAAATGTTAATTTTCTCATTTTTTTTAATGGAAAGTAGATACTTGAGAAGACAATCTCAGGAATGTATCTTGGAGAAGTAGCTAGAAGGGTGTTTCTCAAGATGGCTGAATCTGGTGCTATGTTTGGTGGTTCTGCTCCCGACAAGCTTTCCACACCTTTTGTACTAAGGCAAGTTCATGTCATTTTTCTATTACACGTAAAATAAATGTTTGCATCACTAGTTTCAGGTATATTCTGTGGATTGGTGGCAACACTGTGAAGCAATTACGAATGGTTTAGTTGATGGAACCACCTTCTATACTCAAAAGACTACAGATTAAACAAAGAATTGTCTAGTTTGCATATTTGCGACTCCTCGAATGTCCCCAAAACAAACAACTACAAACTTTAATTATTCAGTCACTAGATGTGTCCTATCTAAATGCCTTTCTATTTAACTCACAAGATAAGATATTTTCTACACCAATGTCTACCAAAAAATTTCTGAGCCAATAAATGGTGTCAGGTTTGATAGGAACCCCATTAGCAAACATCTGGCCTTTTCTGATTTGAGTCTAGGTAAATTTTTCTGGTATACTTATTCCCACATTATTTGCTTCGCAGCTTATCTTTCTGATTAATATAAGAATTGGGGCACTGCACTCTAAATGATAGGCACCTTGGTGTCAGTTTAAGATGTTTCAGGCGTTGGTGTCAGTTTAAGATGTTTCAGGCTGTTATGGCATAACTACAAACGGAGCAAGTTTCACTAAGTTTTTGGTTGCAAATACACAGACACTACACACATATTACCCTTGCACTTCTGGTCCGATCTCTTGAATTGAATTGGTCCAATGGGACTTCAGCTACAAAATTCCAATGCATAAACGAATAATTATTGCTAAATTTCCAAACTGGGTCACGATACTAACTGTTGTTTCTAATTCTTTCGCAAGGCAAGAATAGAACTTATAAACCCTTGAAACTTTTGTGTATTTGGCTCTCTTTGTCCATCCCACATTAGCATATACTTTAACTTATGAAGATGAAGGTCATCAGCATTATCAGATTTTTTTTTCAATTATTTGGGGTCAGCTTTATGAATCCTGGTTCGCTATTCTGCTCTATCAAGGGTCATACCCTCAGTGAGGTCATAAGTCCCCATATCTTTTCTCCCTATTTCCAACTATGTATTTTTGGGTTTACCCCTTACTTTTTTTTAGCTTTCCACTTGAATTAACTCACACTTCTTAATAGGTGATGTATTGGGTCTGCGCTGTACATGGCCAACCCACTTAAGTTTACTTTCTCTCCCAATGGAGTCGTACCTAAGTTCTCCCGAATGTATTCATTTCGAATTATATCCCTTCTTGACTTGCCACTTATTCATCTCAACATCTTTATCTCAGCTACACTCATCCAATAGGTATATTGTTTCATGACCGCCTAACATTGTGCCTCATAAAAGCAATGCTGGTCTCACAGTTGTTAGGTAGAACTTACTTTTCAGCTTCATTGGTATGTAAGGATCATATAAAACTCCAGTTGCATATCTCCACTTGGCCCACCCAGATCACATAAAACTTACGAAGATGAAGGTATCGAATATAAAATGTTCTAACAGGTGAGAAAGATATGCACAGATAGCATGAATTGTAGTTTTTAGTTTAAGTCTCATGATTTGGATGAAAAATAACTAGGGTACATAACGAGTGAAAGAATTTGTCTAGCAATGTTAAAAAAATTGACTCAGCCAAGGTACTCGGACCCTGGTCGAAGCAAGTCACTCAGTCGAGTCTGAGTAAATCGGGCGAGTCCTGCTCACTTTTTTTTTATGAAATGAACATAATAATTGATATATATACATCTTTAGTGGCAGATTTTTCAATCAAAGCACTGAAGGCAAGTTAGTTAGGGTGTTGGATGTAAATTTGGTTCTTCACAAGAGGTTTAAGGTTCAATTCCTGTATTGGGTAATTTTTCTTTTTGGGGAACTCTCCTCCAACAAAAAAAAAACTTTCAAAATAAAAGCTTTAAAAAATGATTTGTCGGGCTTTCAAAATAAAAGCTTTAAAAAAATGATTTGTCGGGGGTGGGTTTGAACCCCAGTCTTACAAGGAAACTTCTCAACGCAACCCGTGGAGCCACGTAATCACAAACAGCTAAAGATTGCCGCATTATATAAATAAACCTATTAAAGTTGTTGTACACCTTACTCGCCCAAAACTCGGCTCGCCCTTAGGGCGAGGCCGAGTACTCGGCCGATTCCGAGTGACCTTGGACGACTCCGAGTGACCTCGGCCGAGTCTTAAAACTCTGCTGTCTAGTATTGGTCACATGTACTACATCTCCCAACTATAGTCTGCATGCTATTAGAAATGGTATCAAGTTATCCTTATGTATAGTATATTTGAGCTTCCACTCAAGTGGCTTATCCATTTTCTTCTTGGTTTAGCAGTTACCGTGATCACTTATTCAATTTTCTGTCTCGTCCATCGCCAAAATAAAATGAAACTAATTGGGTTTTGACCGTTGAAATTATTTACAAACTAACAACAAAGTACAAACTGCATTCATAAAACCTTCAAAGACTCTGACACAGATAAAAGAAAAAAACTTCTTTTCTTAATAACAAAACCACATTATGCTAAACATAACTTTCGCTTTCTTGCACTACAGGACACCTCATCTCTGTGCTATGCAGCAAGATCAATCATCCGACTTGAAATTGGTTGGAAAAATTTTGAGCGACACTTTGGGTGTAAGCATTCTTATTTCACTAAAAATGTTTTTGAGAATTAACACTTATTATGCACACAGGTTTGTGCATGAGAGAGAGAGAGAGAGAGAGAGAGAGAGAGATCATGAAGTTCGTTTTGCATTCTTTCTTGGACAATTTAATGCAGAGAAACATCTTGGCTACTCTCGAGCTTCTTATTTTGTGTAATCTATTTTACTATTGTTAACAGGTAGATGATTCTTCTTTGGGCATTCGGGAAATGGCCATTGACATTTGTGATGCCATAGTGAAGCGTGGGGGGCGGCTAGCTGGTGCGGGGATTGTGGGCATTTTACAGAAAATGGATGCCGATTCTAAAGGAACAATTTTTAGAAAGAGAACAGTTGTGGCCATGGATGGTGGCTTATATGAAAATTATCCCCACTATAGGAAGTATATTAAAGAAGCTGTTATTGGGCTTCTTGGGTCTGAGATTTCCAAGAATGTGGTCATAGAACACTCCAAAGATGGATCAGGCATTGGAGCTGCTCTCTTGGCAGCGGCTAATTCAAAATATGCAAGGGAATTCTAGAGGTGAAAATTATGGCACCCCTACTATTGTTCTCTTCTTAATGAGATGAAATAAATTTTTACATTTTTTTTTTATATTTTTCCAGCTTAGGTGAATGAGGATGTGTTGCCTTGTTCAAAGAGATTAAGAAGGTTCCTTGTAATTTTGTTGCCAAATTTTGGTTTCGGTTTAGGTCGAAAAACAATAAGTTTAATGTTATTCTTTAGGAATAAATTTTTTTTTCCCTCTTTTGTTTGAAGAAAAAAAGAATTTGGCTTTTGAAAAAAACTTGGGATGATAATTTATTGGGTTTAAATCCTTTTATTCTTGTCTTCTTCATTTTAGTGGCTTATAAAATTATTGTGATATATGTAAGTATTAGTTTTATTTTATTTGGGAAAAAGAAAAAACATTAAAGACACCGATATGAATACAAGGACGACAAGAATGAAATGGGGAACTCAATTACGAAAAATGAAATGGGGAACTCAATTACGATGCATACCTTAATGTTTTTCTAGGTCAGTCATGGAAGAGAAGGCCCATACCTATTTTTTCATTAATATAAAATAAAGAAGTGCCAGCTCATGATTTTAAAACCTTATAATGAGGCAATTGCGTTAAATCATGAAATAAAAGTAGAGAAATAAAGTCTCGCAACTAAAAAAGTTCTTTTTAAAAAAAGCATAAGAAGAATGAGAAATTGACCATATGTGAAATTGATCATGTACTGTCGCTAGGATTAGCTAAAATTGACCATATGTGAAATTGATCATGTACTCTGCTATGATTAGCTGCAACTGTATGTAGCTATCATGGTATGATGAATGATATTCAACGCTCATTAATTCATTAATGACATTCATGAGTAAAGATAAATCACTTTTTACTTAGAGAGAAAAGCAATCATTCTGGATAGCAAGGTGAAGTACTTTTTCGAAAATGGTAAGCTTTGCATGATTGTTAGCGGCAATGCGAAATGACTTTGTAAAGGTAGCGGCAAAAGAACCATTACTAACCTTTATTGTTTCTGATAACATCACTACCACCGGCTAAACCTGAGTACTGCAAACAAGCGCCATCGATATTTAAATTGAAATGCTAAAGGCACCATTTGCTTAATATGAGAGAAAAAACACACTCGTAATGCTGCCAGTGGCAATGTTTTATAACCTAGAATGGCCGGCAGATTGTCCAGGTAGATCAGTTGTCTGGAAATCAGTCTAGATTAACAAATTGACAATCTGAATTGGTGGACCGGCCCGATAAGGCCTTACAAAAATTTTGAAGAATTACTAAAAATCGTTATTAGGTATTATTTTTGGGGTTTTCAAGAGAGAAAGTGGCTAGGGCTTATGAATTTTCATTATTTACAAAAATACGTGAATATTCAGATATTGTTTCCTGTTTGAATGTATGTTGATCATTACATTGACGTTATAAAAAAAACCTACAATCATCATAGATATGAATACATGGTCCATAATGAAACGTACAATTATAAACATACAACCTAATATCAAAATGATAGACAAACCAGAGCTTTGATCATGTAAAAGGCTCCTCAACAATCATTTAAAAGAAAAATTCAATGGAAGGATATTTAAAGTTTTAAGATGCTACTTGTATATCTGTGAAGAGTATCAGGTTTCTCACAAGAGACTCAATGTCTATTAATGAATATAAATATACAAACTTGTTTGATACAGACAAAATACACATGACAATAATAAAAATAAATCATAGACACCTATATGTCTCAGGTTTCTCAGAAGAGACTCAATGTCTATTAATCAATATAAATATATAATCTTGTCATATAGACAAATACATATGACAATAATAAAAATAAATGACATTCACCTGTATTATACCCAGATTTACCATAAATACAAAATATTGTATCTATCTTTCCATATAAATTGATTATAATATATACCTTCCATATTAACTTGATATACAATATATACTTTCCTTTCATGCTCCCCATCAAACTCAAGATGTTATGAGAGAAAGCCGCTGGAATTTCAACATTAATTTGTGAAAACGAGCAATTAACAGAACATGGCAGGCACAAACTCAAGATGTTATGAGAGAAAGCAGCTAGAATTTCAACATTAAGTTGTGGAAACGAGCAATTAACGGAACATGGCAGGCTCAAACAATGACAAATAAGCCTCAGAAATAGAAGGCTTGAATAGAGCATGCTTGAACAAACGAAAACTTCAAATATTCTCCAAGACAAAAAAGTCTAGGTAGCGGAGAAAACAAAACAGAATGACACTTGCAAGAGCCAAATAGAACTCGATGTCGATTCGAGAGCCAAATAGAACTCGGTGTCGATTCGAGACCGATTTAGCTCGAATCAACAGCTCACAGACTAGAACCAACTTGAATAGAGCATGCTTGAGCAAACGAAAACTTCAAATATTCTCCAAGACAAAAAAGTCGAGGTAGCGGAGAAAACAAAACAGACACTTGCAAGAGCTAAATAGAACTCGGTGTCGATTCGAGACCGATTAAGCTCGAATCAGCAACTCACTGACTAGAACCAATATGATCGAGTAACCGAACAAATAAACTTGATCATACAAACAAGAATAGACCGTGCAAAGATGAACTCAAAAAATCTACGCTCTTTTTTTTGAACAAAAAGTATTCTTTAGTGGTTTTTTTTTTTTTCTAAGTCGAGTTTCAGATGATCAATGACAATATCTGCTCAGAGTAGCTGGGTGAGCTTTCAGATAAATCTGGACCCCGAGATCAAGATTCAGAGAGCAAAAACAGGCAAAACGACTGATTTCAAAAGTGGGCAGATCAGCTGTTTTCAAAGGCTTAGAAGGGTTTCAAAGGGGCGGATCAACTATTTCAGAGGCTCAGATGGGCAAATCGGCTGTTTTCATAAGCCACTTTTTAGAGGTGGATTTCAGATGCTCCGATGGGCAGATTGGCTGTTTTCAAATGCCACTTTTTAGAGGTGGATTTCATTGGCATGTTTCGAATCAGCTGTAGGTCTCAGAGCTGGCAGTCACATAGGGTTTCAGAGTAGGTCTCAAAAATGGCACAGTCCCATAACAATCGAATGGGTTTATGGGTTTATAGATCTTGTAGTCCCATAACAATCGAATGGGTTTATGGCTCTACAGATCTTGTAGTCCCATAACAATCGAATGGGTTGATGGGTCTGTTGGGGTAGTTGTATTATTGAGGGAATAAAAAATGGACATATCCTTAAGATTTACTTTAAGCACAAAACGGTGTGAATAACAAAGCGGGAATGAAATATCATCAAAGTGTGCATATTTACTTTAAGAACAAAACCGTGTGAATTAGCAAAGCTCAAATGAATATCATTTACTTAAAGAACAAAACCGTGTGAATTAGTGAAGCTGAAATATCATCAAAGTGTGCATCACAGTTTGCGAATGTAGAGTTAGATAGAGAAAGTTAGAGAGAGAAGGAGGATGAGGGACTCTTCTTTTATTCTGAGTTCTTTCTATTCCATTATCGTTATCTTTGGCGCAGTGGCGCTTCTTCTTCTTGGATCCGGCGCTTCTTCTTCTTCTTCTTGGATCCATTTACCATTCTTCTTCTTGGATCCAAGGCTTCTTCTTCTTGGATCTTCTTGGATCCATTTACCATTTTCCATATTGCAGTGCCGCTTCTTCTTCTTGGATCCGACGCTTCTTCGGATTCATTTACCGTTTTCCATATTGCAGTGCCGCTTCTTTTTCTTGGATCTTCTTGGATTCGGTGCTTCTTCGTCTTGGATCTTTTTGAATCCATTTACCATTCTTCTTGGATCCAGTGCTTCTTCTTCTTGGATCTTCTTGGATCCATTTATCATTCTTCTTTCTTGGATCCAGCCCTTCTTCTTCATGGATCCATCTACCATTATTCTTTCTTGGATCCAGCGCCTCTTCTTCTTGGATCTTCTTGGATCCATTTACCATTTTCCAAAGAAGATCCATTTACCATTTTCCATATTGCAGTGCCGCTTCTTCTCTTTTGGATCCGACGCTTCTTCTTTATGGATTTATTTACCGTTTTCCATATCGCAGTGCCGCTTCTTTGTCTTGGATCCATTTACCGTTTTCCGTACTAGTCATCCAAAAGAAAGTATATATTGTTATCGAAAAGAAAGTATATATTGTATATTAGGTTGATACGAAACATTATGTATTTCAAGTTAATATGTAAGGGTGCAGTTTGGAAATTTTTGTGATAGCCTTAAATATATTTTCATCATTATTAATAAAATTTAAAGTTTCAAAAATAATGTAAATCGACGAAACTATGAAAACTTGAAAATAGATTGTCAAAAAATACATTACAAAATACACTACTTCCAAAACATGAAATTCATTTTTTTCTCATGTCCATACTTCTTGATGTCAAGATGATCAATTTGAAGGTATTTGGACATCAAAACAACCTCTTCTAGTGAAAATTTTGTAGTAGACTCCAATTTGATTGCTTGGTGCCTCAGCTCTATATAAACTTTTCTCATATGTAAAGTGTATATTGTCATATATTTTTGGTATTTTTCTTTCATCTATACCAAAAGAAAGTATATATTGTATATCAGATTAATTTGAAAGATATATATTGTAATCAGGACATATGGAAAGGGTGTATATCTTGTATTTATGATAGTCTAATCAACGTATAGAATATATGTGATTTATTTTTATAATTTATGTGATATATATATATCTATATAGAGAAAGCTGAGATTAGCCCACTAGCTCATATAAACATACAAGCCCAATGGCCCAGATTGAATCTGGGTCGATCTGACGATCATGGATGTCTGATAGTATTTGAATTTTTTTTTTTCTACAAATCCAAATTACTTGAAATTTTAGACGTGTGT